GGGGGGCGGGGGCCAGCGCGAGTAATAAATTTCGCCCGCCGGGCTAACTAGCGACTTTAACTTGGAATTCTGGGAGACAACAATTCACGCGGGATTCCGGACCAAAAACCCGCCGACCGGCAGCCGCAAAGCCGCCGCCACGGGCCCCCACTTTACCCCGGCCCGGCCCGGCCCGGCGGTGACGCGGGGGAGCCAGGGCGGGACTCCCGGGCAAAAACCCGAGGGGCCGCGCGCCCGAGGGAAGGGCTCCGTTGTGGACTTCCCTGCGCCAACAACGGGCGAAGCGCGGGCAACGCTGGCCGCCGCCTCACCTCGGGGCCGTAGGAGGCTCAGCCCCGAGGCCGGAGACTTCAGTTTGGGATCAGGTAGGAAGGAGGGGCGCGGAGTGGAGGGGGTGGCCCTGGCTGATCCCGGGAGCCTTCCCCGGTGTCCCCTCCCTTTCCCGGGTCTTTCCCGGCAGGGAGGGGACGAGGTAGGAGGCAGAGCGGATGGGAGCCGGAGATCCCAGGTTCCCGGAATGCCCCGGCTGGGGCCCTCGGGCTTCTCGCGTCCTCCCCCCGCGCACCCTCTCCCCCCAGTGCCTCGGGTTTCTGTCTCGGTCCCGACCGCCCTGAGCCACGGGACTGAGCGGCGCCCAGAGCGTCCCGGGGCCCTTTCCTGCTTCCCACCCAGCCACGCTCCTGGAGACCCAACTTCCGCGCCCGAGTGCAACTCGGGGGCTCCCTGGGTGCCGCCACCCGCCGGCGGGACGAGGGCTGGGCGGGCTCCGCGGGGTACCTGGGTCGGAGCGGGGGGCCCGGGGAGGACTCCCAGGGCAGCGGGTGCCCGGCCGCTCGGGGAGGCGCAGGCACCGGGGCGGGCCGCGCGCGCTGGAGGGTTCCGGGCACTCACGCGGCGCTCTCCTTCCTCCCCGCAGCCCCCCGGGATGCAGTAGCGGCCGCTGTTCGGAGGCCGCCGAGCAGCTGCAGCCGCCACCGCGCAGACCCACGCTGGCTCCGTGCGCCATGGTCACCCACAGCAAGTTTCCCGCCGCCGGGATGAGCCGCCCCCTGGACACCAGCCTGCGCCTCAAGACCTTCAGCTCCAAGAGCGAGTACCAGCTGGTGGTGAACGCCGTGCGCAAGCTGCAGGAGAGCGGCTTCTACTGGAGCGCCGTGACGGGCGGCGAGGCGAACGTGCTGCTCAGCGCCGAGCCCGCCGGCACCTTCCTCATCCGCGACAGCTCGGACCAGCGCCACTTCTTCACGCTCAGCGTCAAGACGCAGTCGGGGACCAAGAACCTGCGCATCCAGTGCGAGGGGGGCAGCTTCTCGCTGCAGAGCGACCCGCGCAGCACGCAGCCCGTGCCCCGCTTCGACTGCGTGCTCAAACTGGTGCACCACTACATGCCGCCGCCGCCGGGCGCCCCCGCCTTCCCCGCGCCCCCGACGGAACCCGCCTCCGAGGTGCCCGAACAGCCGCCCGCCCAGCCGCTGCCCGGGAACGCCCCCAGGAGAGCCTATTACATCTACTCGGGAGGCGAGAAGATCCCTCTGGTCCTGAGCAGGCCGCTCTCCTCCAACGTGGCCACCCTCCAACATCTCTGTCGGAAGACCGTCAACGGCCACTTGGACACCTATGAGAAAGTCACCCAGCTGCCTGGCCCCATTCGGGAGTTCCTGGACCAGTACGATGCGCCGCTTTAAGGGGCGAAGGGCAGGGGTCGAGCGAGGGGCCTGGGTCCCCTCTCCTCCGTGGCACATGGCACAAGCACAAGAATCCAGTGGAGAGAGTCCTGCCGCCCTGGGTGAGCCCAGGGGTGGGCCGGCCCCTCCCGCGGGCCCTCCCCCTGCAGGATGGGGAAGGCGGGGCCTGGAATGTGTTGGAGGGCAGGGGAGTGCCACCTGGGCGCCCCTCCCCCACGCCGGCCCGATGGCCCGAAGGGACCACTTCAGCGACAGCATTGGATTGATTCTCCTCTCCTCTCCGCTTCCTTGAACTAGTGAGAACTGCCGGGAATCTGTAAACTTTCCGAAGGAACTTGTTTGCTCTTTGATTTGGTTTTAAACATGGCTTTCATCCTGAGCACGTCTCAGGCCTGGGAAAGGGTGGACCGGAGAGGGCGCCCGGGCCCCAGGGCTACAGGCTGGCCAAAGAAATGGCCACTCCCACCGCCAGCCCAGGTGAGGAGGGTGGCTCCTCCCCCGGCTCTGGAGAGAAGGCCAAGGGGTGACCTGAAGGGTACCACTCTGCTCCCTCCCCCTCGGGGCAGCCACCAGGAAACACAGGTCCTAGAGTCCACCGAGGGCTCAGCAGCCCAGGGCCCTTCCCCCGTTTTAAGGGGGAAGTGGCATTTGGAGGGGGAGGGATGGACGGGCTGGTCAGTTCTCGCCCCCCCCCCCCCACACTATACCTCCCAGCACCTGGGGGCTGGGGGGATGGAGGAGATGAGCCATCTTCGACCCCTGATCCCGGCCAGAGAAGATGGAGGATTCTGCTTTGTGCCTCCTCCTATGTCTGGCTCGGAGATTTGCCTTAAACGCTCCCTGTCCCGTGGATGGGGCCTGGCACACAGAACCACACACTCAGCCGA